GTGTGTGTGTGTGGTGTGTGTGTGTGTGTGTGTGTGTGTGTGTGTGTGTGTGTGTGTGTGTGTGTGTGTGTGTGGTGTCATGATTCGGTTCTGTGTTGCTTCCTGTCAGGCTTTTATTTTGATGCTACGTCCTGTTTTGTTTCACCACAGTTTTGGTCTTTTTACTTTCTTCATCACCCGCATTAGTTTCACCTGCTCATTATAGTTTGCACCGCATCATAAGCAGCCTTCACCCACCAATCCCAGCCAGATTGTTCTAGACGCCACCTCTCACTCTCCAGCATTTTTCGGTTTTGGTACTTTGTGTTTTTGACCCGGCTTGTTCCTCTGACTATTCTGTTCTGCCTTGCCCTCTTGCTTCAGACTGTCACTGTGTATAATTATCGGACTTCCCTTTGGACTACGTATTTGGATTCCTCTGCTGTATGTGTTTGCTGGCTCTGATCTCGGACTGTTTATACCGACCTGTGATTTTTGTGTTTCACCGTGTCTTGTATGGTTTTGTTTAGCGTTAGTTCTCTTATTAAAGAGACGGTTTTGTTTTACATTTCCTTGTCTGGCCTTTTAATTGAGTTCACCCTCAACATTTTTGGCAGCATAACGCGCCGATTCCTGACATGTGGTGTGTGCGTGTGTGTTTGTCTTTATATACTTGTGCGAACCAACCCCTGATGGAACACCTTTCTTGTGTGGACATTTCATTGGTGACTTTCACCAATGCGGTTTTTGTACTATGATGGACTCTAAATCCTGACTGAAAATCCTCAAACAAATCATTCTTGTGCAAGTGGTCACATAACTGCTTTGCAACAGCTTTTTCAAGGATTTTGGAAATAAATGGGCGATTGGATATTGGTCTATAATTAGCTAGGACACCTGGGTCAAAGGTAGGCTTTTTGAGTAGCGGTTTAATTACTGCAAGTTTAAAAGCCTGTGGAACATAACCTGTTAATAGAGAGAGGTTAATCAGATCTAGTATGGATGTGTTGATTAGGGGAAAGACGTCTTTGAGCAGCCTGGTCGGGATGGGGTCCAGGAGACATGTTGATGATTTAGATGAAACAGTTGTTGAGGTCAACTCAGAGAGATCTATAGGGGAGAGAGGCAGTCTGAATATAAATGAGGTCTTACAGATGTTTCTAAAGCCATTGTAGTAGATGGCACATCTGTGAGAGCTGTGGGGTGGATCTGATAAATGTTTTCTCTAATAGTTATGATTTTATTTGTAGAGAAGTTCATGAAATCATTACTGCTGAGATCTAAATGAATGCTAAACTCAACAGCACTGCGGCTCTGTCAGCCTGGCTACAGTGCTGAAAAGAAACCTGGGGTTGTTCTTTAAACCGTGTAATGAAAACCTTTCTTTTTAAACAAAAGTTTCAATTGAAACTTCCGAGTTCAGGGTTCATTTGTTGCATACACATTGGAAGTGGCAGAAAAAGTGAGTGAACAGCAAATTGCATGTTGTGAAATTCACATTGACTTTGATATGCTGAAAAGTGAACCGTTGCCCCCAGTGTCAGGTCGTTACACTTTGGAGCAGGTTTGGCTGCATTCATCCTTCCCTCAGTTCTGACCAGTCTCCTTGCCCCTACTGCTGAGACGCCTACCACACCAGGATGCTGCCCCCACCATCCTTCATCATAGGGATGGTATTAGCCAGGTGATGAGCAGTGCCTGGTGTTGACGATAAACTCTTAAGCAGCCATCATCTGGCATCTTCTGTCTCTATCATAACTGCCTGATTGATGGAGAGCTGTTGAGATGCTTGTCCTTCCAACAGGTTGTCCATCTCTGTAGAGTACTGAAGCTCTGTTAGAGTGACTGTCAGGTCACTGGTCACCTTCCTGACCAAGGCCCTTCTTCCTAGTTACTCAGTTTGACAGACGGTCGACTGTAGGAAGAGTCCTGGTGTTCCCAGAGTTCTTCCATTTTACAATTAAGGGTGACTGTGGGTCAGTGGGTAGAGCAGTTGTCTCCCAACCGGAGGTTCGAATCTCGGTGCCTGCAGTCCACACGTCGAAGTGTCCTTGGGCAAGACACTGAACCCCCAAGTTGCCCCCGATGGTTAGAGCTGTTGTTGTGAGTTGGCGCCACAGATGACTGCCTCGGTTCTGTACCGGAAACAAATTCCTTGTGTGTGTAACATACTTGCCCAAATAAAGGTGATTATTCTCCGTTAGGATGCTGTGCTCAGAGCTTTAGAGATGGTTTATACTCTTGTCCTGATTTGTGCCTCACCACAAGTTTATTACAGAGGTCTGCAGAGAGTTCCTCAGACTTCAGGGCTTCTGAACTAAGTCAAATCATTTCAGTTTGCCACAGGTGGAAGATAATTAAATCAAACAGGATGTACCTCACCATAGATTAGAGTGTCACTGCTAGGGGTCTGAATGCTTTTATAAATAGGGGATTTCAGTTTTATAGTTTTGATAAATTTGCAAACACTTCTAGACACATTTTCACTTTGTTATGGGTTACTGATAGGGGCTAAATTGGACCAGAGCCGACTAAGGCTGGATTGCGCCTGCTGACGTCCAAATGGCATCCTGTTGGAGCTTAGTCCCGCCTCCTTCAGCATCACTTTGTTGGCACCTCTCACACTTTGGGCTTGAGATGTTTGTTCTTAGACACTGCCTCACTCTGACCAAACACATGTGATTCGACTTTTTTTTCCTCTGTCTTTTTGTGTTGTTCCAATGCAAATAAAAGAAATAAACATTGGATTACCAAAGAATTTGTGATTGCAACAGTTTTCTGGGAGAAGTGGTGCATTATCTGACAAAAATGCAGGAGTGTGTTAAAGTACTGTTTAACTTTATTTTTAAAGGTTCACGCTTGGTTATACAGCCTCAGTATCAGATATCAGCCTGTGAAATGTCACCCAGGTAATGCAGGTGAATGGATTTAGTTTGTGGTATAGTAACATTCTACATCGGCTACATTCCACTGAAGAAATAGTCCCTGTGAAAAGTGTTGATAGTGTGGGCTGTGGCCCCACCCACATGATTTATTGGACAAGGGCTCCCCCTCCTCTCAAATCCCAGTTTAACCCCAGTTATTGAATGTCGAATGCAAAAATGGGCAATTTTATCTGGATATTTTCTCAAGCTTGTATATTGTGACAGTGTGCTGAAGGTGTTTGTCTTTAGCAGGAACAAGTGGGCTCGGGACTGTGAGCCACAAACAGGTTAGAGGAATTCGATTAGTTTTGACAGACAGGCTGATTCACTGTTGTTGATTTTTGTCTTTTTTATGGCATTTGTTGACAGTAAGACAGTATAAAACACCAGCCATTTACTTAGAGATGAGTCTCAAATATACAAAATAAATAGTCATAAATATTAGACTTCAGAAGGAATGCAGACTGCAATAAAAAGCATCTGTTGAACTAGAAATCCTCAATAGGTTTTTATATATTTTTTTAGTGAAACCTTTAATTTCACAGCTCCTTCTGGATGTTCATGTTGTGTATGTAAAGTTTCTAATGGGCAGTAAAATGTGAGGCCACCCAGCTCAGCTGTGTGCCATGCAGTTTCCTGACATTTCATAAGCTGCTGTTGCTGTTGCCCCACTTTCACAGGGTTGAGTTAATCTCTCACGGTAACTCTTAAAACCAGCAGCTAACTGTGTGAATGACGTTTTTCACCCTCTGTTTTTCACAGGCATTTTTTCAGGGCAAGCTGAAGGTCACAGGGAACATGGGACTGGCCATGAAGCTTCAAAACCTGCAGCTGCGTCCAGGCAACGCTAAGCTGTGAGACGTCGGAGCTAGCTGTAACAGCACATCTGGACACTGAATAGAGCTAACCACAAAGAATTTAACAGCAAGTCTGTTTTCAGATAAATGTTCCAGTTCTGTAAACCTTCTCATCCCCAGACTGAGCTGCTTTCCTACTACTGACCTCACTGACCAACCAGGGGATTAATCAATACTCCCACTAATCTAACTGGAGAATAAGATAGATGGACATATAATTAATTCTCTAATCAAGTCCGTGTCTGTAATATTGTCAGCACACTAGAGTAGAGACAGGTGCTCTGACTTTGTGATACTAATTCAGTTTACTTTGCAGCATCTATTGCTAATGAAATCTTTCTTGAGTGTATTATGTCTGGAAATGTTTTGAGTAAAGCAGATTGAAGTCACTTTCCACAGTCATGGCTAAAAGAGTCTAAGTGCCTCCTTGTATCAAATTTGGAGAAATGTTTTCCACTGTGGCTGCCCACTGTTTTAATGGATGGGATTGTAATTTTCTGCCATGCTATAATTGCTTGACTCTCTAAAAGATTTTTATTAAATAAATTTATCTTCACTGCAAGGTCCATTAGGCGGTCTCGACTTCGCATCAGTTTTTATTAAGCAGAAACTGTATTTAGAAGACAACTTTGAGTAATTGCCATTAACTTTGTTTATACAAATTTTCCAGGCATGAACAAAAACCCAGAAAGTTTATCTGTGAAAATAAAAGTGGATTTAACAACATGTTGGCCCTGTTTTTTCTGTTGTTTGTTTTTTCCTCATCATGGTAATTTAGCATTTATGAATGTTAAAATGAAAATATTGGCCAGATGTTCAAGCATAAGCTTCAGTATTTATTCAGTGTAAAGGGCAACGAATTAAAGTCACAATCACATTCTTCCTGGCAGACATTAACACACACAAACCAGGCCTGCACAATATAGGTGTATTGTTTATGGTTGTGCTAGTGTGACTATCCATAGTAGTGGCCCTCTGTTGAGATGTGATAATACTTGGATGTCACTGTCAGGTTGGCCCGGCCTGCATATGCTCCCCTTTTGGAGGCCCTTACACTTTTCCAACACTACAGTGACCTGGTTCCAGACTGCCACGCTGCAGTTTTTCCTTTGTAAATGGAGCAGCATGACTTAAAGACAAAAATCTGTTAACTAGCTCTGACCCAGATTTCACTGCAGCCTTGGCTTGGCTCTGGTACTTTTCTGGGTCTTGCACTTTAGTCACACTGGGGTTATTTCATTGGCTGCTGTTTGAGTATTAGATTTTCAAAACAAGGTTAACAAGTTGAATCGTAATAAATGTACAAATCTGTTTGTAACAATTAATTAAAAGCTGGTACAAAAAGAAATGGTTAGAAATGCATCAGTTCTTCCCTCAGTAATGAGCCACCTAAAATGAGTATTTAAACAGGCACTCTACCAATGTTGTTCACTTAACTTACCACAGGAAGTACTATTCAGCCTGTAAAACAGATGTCTTCTGTGGATTAGGAGGAGCTAAAGGCAGAGAAGTTATGGTGTCATCATGATGACATCATATTGGCTTGGGCTTGAGGAAAACTAATTTACAAACTGGAGATGTGTTATAAAGATGTAAATAATGGTCAGAAAAGGAAGATCAACAAAAGATACTATAAAGCTGCATTATGGGAAATGAAGGAGCCTGACCCATATCACAAACTAAAATTGCATCAGTATTGACCCTTTTTTCACTCTTATGGAAGTGTAACATTAAATCAGTACAGCGCCCTTTGAAGATGTAAAGTAGTGTTTAATATGCTCTGATAACAGGTTTTAATTATTTTCCATGATGCATCTGCTCCTTTGTCACCATGACCCAGGCCTGAATAAAATGTTTTCTATTTTCTGGAAATGATAGAATGCAGCAGTGATTCAGCTTGAACACAGGTCATTACTGTCCTGGGAAATAAAAATGTGGGTCCAGCAACCCAGGTCTTTTATAATTGTTGCTTTTTTTTTTTCTTTGAGCAAGCAGAAGATGAGCAGGGTTGTTTAGAGTAGCGATAACCTCCAACAGGAATCTGGGGGGGGGGTTGTCCACTGTCATTTCCATTGTCTTGACATGTCCAGCTCCAGGTTGTTGCCACCACAGGACCAGCTGTTCAACCTCCCGTCTATAGGCCAACTCGTCACTGTCTCGGATGAAAACGATGACTGTTGTGTCATCTGCGAACCTCAGGAGTTTAAAAGAGGGGTTCCCTGAGGTGCAGCCATTGGTGCAGAGGGAGAACAGCAGAAGGGAGAGCACACATCCCTGGGGAGCACCTGTGCTGGTAGTCAGGGTGCTGGATGTGGTTTTCTCCAGCCCCACCTGCTGCTTCCTGTCTGTCTGAAAGCTAGTGATCCACTGACAGGTGGAGGCAGGCACAGTGAACTGGGTCAGTTTGGAGCGGAGGATGTCTGGGATGATGGTGTTGAATGCTGAGCTGAAGTCCACAAAGAGGACTTGTGCAAAGGTCCCTGGGGAGCTGAGGTGTTGCGGGGTTTGAGGTGAGGTGGGTAAGGGGTGTGAAGTTCTATTTCTCTAATCTACAGGTGCAGCTCAATAAATTAGAATATTGTGGAAAAGTCCAGACTGCTGATCTGACAGGTGTCCAGAAGACAATCATTGACACCCTTCACAA